AATTTGTAATTTCAGTGCAAACGAGAGTTGATATTTATAAGTGATGTATCACTGATGAGTTACCAGGAGTGTATTTATTTCGTCTCTATTTTTGGTTATATATACTCGATGAGGTACACATACCAATGATTTTTTTTATATCAACTGAACTAAGTAGAACACGTATACTATACGATATAAATTTTTCAAGCAAAATGAACCGGACTAGGACGGGAAAAATTTTAATTCAAGCTGAGGTAGTATATACTCCTAAGTACTTTGTGTTAATTGACGACCTCGGGGTGGGGCCATTAACACTCTGGGCGCTATGCTAGCCAGAGAGCTATTTACTTCGATTCTGTTGTACTCTATCTATAATTATTTTTTTACTAGGTATATGGTTGTCCATCAAATAGTTTTCACCGACTACACTAGACAATTCACAAAAAAAAAACTTTGTGTCTGAAGGGCTCGCTATAGTAGAGAATCGACTCGCACTTGCTTTCATAGGCTACTTGACTAGCCCAGTTCCCCATGTCAATGCGGTTGAAGAGTCAGTTTGTTTATAAAGCGATTATGTTACTATGTAGGTTTAGTAATATCACATTACGTAACCTAATTGTAATAGTGATTAGATTAACTAATCTAAAAGTCCGTATGTCACCTCGATAAGGAAGTATTTGTCACATTCATCATGATGAGCAGGTGGCCACAGAGAAACTGCAATGGAATCGTGGTTTTACAGGTTATTTTAATTAAAACTCACCGGGCAAACTGTGTCATTCTATTTGTAGCCGACAATCCGCACGCTCATTAATAAATTACAAGGGTTTCGATTAAAACTAACAGTTTTATTTCAAGATAAGAAAGAAAAGAAATTATTTGTTTAATTTAGTACATACAAATTCACGAAACTCATATTAAAAAGTTTTGGGTTAATTCTAATTAACCTCGTAACTATCTCAGAAATAAAACACAATCCCAAAACCATTTTACCACACGCTACAACAATATGTGAAAGCATCATATTATTTTTCAGTACTGAATACATAAATATGAAACTTTACAAGAAACAAAAAATACATAATATACATTTGAACATAACTTAGAGAGAAGGCGAAAATTACACGTCACAAGAGTTTGGAAGACGCTCTCAAACTAAGAATAGAGGCTAACAATTTTAACTTTGAAGAGGCAACCCGGGCCCTCCAAATACGGGTGTATACAGGTTTACTTCTTAAATTCTAACAACTTAACAGGACTATATTACTAACATCGAAATAACATCCTTTGTTCCATGATCACTTTAAACGGTAATAACTCTGTGCAGGACGGGGGTGGGAGTCGTCGTGGAGAACGATTGCACGTTTGAACATACCTTATATATACTTGTGAAAGAGTTCGTCCAAAGAAGTACTGCCACCTTACCTATCTCTGCCTCCAAGCAGTAATGTCAGCATTACTGTGTTCCGGTTTTGAAGGGTAAGGGTGCTGGTGTAATTACAGCCACATGGGACTTCTCAACTTATGTCTCAGGGTGACGGGCGCAGAGGCAGTGCCCCTCAGATCTTTGCGATTTAAAGCTCTCAGTGGCACTGCAACTGTTATGACAGGCGGTAGCTTACCATCAGACGCACGGCTTGTTCGTCCCGTTACTTGATATTATAAAAAATCTTAAAATGTACAACAAAAACTTAAAAGTTTATATTTGGTAAATTTGTAATGTTTTGTGAAATGTCTTGTATAACACCAACAAAAGTTTTTGTTATTGGTGTTAGTAATATAGTCGTGCTAGGTTGTTAACATTTCAAAAATAACTCCGTATATTATAAGTATTTAGAATAATTAAATATGCAAACCGCTTGAAAACAAACGCCTGATTTTGAAAGACTTTAAACGCTAACATAGTATAATAAAACAAGTAGCAACTTCAGTCTGTTCGGCGCGTCAATGACTCACGTCACTCGTGTAGGGCTGTCACATTATTATTTTTGTTGTACCTACGAGTTGCAAAACATGATTTGGAAAAATTAAGATATTCATCACAGTGTTCTCGTGCTATGTTAAAATATTCTTTATTAAATGCAATACTAAATTAGAACAACTCATAACAACACAATAGTGACGCGTCCTACTGCATTCCGGCGGTACATTTCTTAGCCGCTTTGTGAAAAACGCCACGTGCTATTACAATACGCGACGTAGGTACTTTTTTTTAGGCGAATTGCAATCCAGCCAAAGCCGGATTAGAAAACGGCCGTTTTGCAAACCGGCTAATCGAAATATAACACGGCGCTTTATACAATACGGCTGCGACATAATATATACAGTATTGTAGGACAATGTTTAAGCTAGGAAAATTGTTAAACTTGTAAAATAAAAAAGAACATTCTTACATATTAATATTTCTATACCAGCATAGCAGATTAGTGTCACGATTATTGTAGAAATAATCACGAAATTGAAATCAAATACGAGTTTTGCATATACATAACGATACATTTATAAATCAAAAGAGAAATAGACACATATAGAATAGGAGACATGAGCGAGAACAGGGAGGACGTATGCATCATTGCAGTTATGCGTGGTCGAGAGTTGTTGGGGTATGAATCTTCGCTTCCACATCTACACGGCGAGCGGCTAGAGAGGGGAATTCCCTACCTGCGGACTTATTTCCCGAACGCCATAACTTGGACCTTTCAAGATGAGAGTGAATAGGCATTGTAGCAGCCACATACGTGCCAGAATGTCTAACCCTCTTCCGACGTTCAGGCACGTCTTAGTGCAAGCAAAAGTAACAACCCCCAAGCTGAAGTACTACCCCTCAAAAAAGGGGGAAAAAAATTATCATAAGAACAACTTAACGTACCAAACGATATTACGAGGCGTCGGTTATTTGCAATAATTAATAATATATAACATCAGATAAACTTAGTGATATACATAGACAATAAATTCCCTGTACTTGGACCTGATTTGAGCGACAATGGACGTATTTCTTTTCAAATGGTGACGTTGGACGAATTCTTCTTTTTTTTTTATTAGACTGGATACAATAAGACTTGGGACAATATGCACAATTGACCTTCTCGGTTCTTTGGCTTCGTCGCTCCTGTCGATTTTTATGTCTGTAAGGGATTCATTCCCGTAGGCTTTGACCGGTTGGTCGTTGTGTCGCAGTAATTTTGTTGTTTTCCCGTGGGCTTTGACCGGTTGGTCGTTGTGTCGCAGTAATTTTGTTGATTTCCCGTAGGCTTGATTGGTCGTTGCTGTCGCAGTAATTTTGTTGATTTCCCGTAAGATATGACCTGTTGGTCGTTGTGACGCAGTAATTTTGTTGATGGTTTTTGACTGTCGTTACTAGCGTTGACTGCTCTTTAACTTAGTCTATCAACTAGCGTCGTGTATATACTTTGAATTCCGTGGATATCCTTAATTTTTGCTCCTATCATGGCGAGCTTGCGTCTGCGATGCGACAGTCCATGTAAAATGTCACCGTAATGTTTGATTTCTCATTGTGCCGTGAATATCAAATATGTAAATGGTCGCTGTAAGTACGAGGTGGTTTCCAATTGCTTGTCTGTTTTAACGCTATTAATTACTGAATGAAGCATATTTCGTTGAGTGCTGCGTCAGCGGTATTCTTTGTTTATGTTGTAGCTCATAACTGTTTAGTGTCAATTGTAATACAATGTTGCTGTTCTAATCAGTTGTAGTGCTGCCATTGACCTCGGTACTTCCTTCTTTATATAATAAGTGGCGTCATGGGCGTCTCATTTGCGGGTGTGGTTGTGCAGCTGTAGGACGCGGGGCGCGTGGCGACCGTGCTTCTGGTCGATGGGCGTTTTCGGCGCAACTGTTTTTAGGCGCAAGCTTCGTGTTCGATGCTTCAAAATTTCTTCTAGACGGGCTTACCATTTTACCGGCGGGCTGAATGTTGATTTTCTTCCGTGTGTTGCTGCCATGTCGGAGTCCACTATATGCGGCGGGCTGTGTTCTTCCAATCGGGGTCACCAGTTTACCATGGCGCAGTTGAAAGGTGTTGGCGGTAACCACTTCGCCATGGTACTTTGGTGGAGAATAGACGAGTCGTGGGTTGGTAAATGACTGTGTTATATTTTGTTTGAGCTACTTATTTCTACTAATTTGGTACGGGTGTCTTACGCTGATTCACAAGGCATGGTTGTTACTTTTGCTTGTACTAAGACGTGCCTGAATGTCGGAAGAGGGTTAGACATTATTTAGGTGTGCATGCTACATCGTTGACCTTATCATCACTTTCCATCAGGTAAGATGGGAGTCAAATCAGCACTTATTTGTTGGCTGGCCCATGATTTGCCATTTTTAATGGATTATTTGCTTATCTAAACGTAGGTATCTGTAACTCAAAAACTAGAAGTTATAAAAAATCTTCTTATGTATAAATCTGTACAAAATTACAGGAAATTACAGCCGTACCCAAGGGCATCGTGCCGGACTTCTGTCTGGCAACATTTCTCTTTTCAATAGCTAAAGGTATTTTTTAGCGGAAATAACTGCTAGCCTTGTGGTCACCGAAGGCTTCGACAAGGCGATCTGACAGCTCGCTCGCTCACTCGCTATTATATTTATATTATTTCTCAAAATTGGCATACATAGTCCTTGTGTCGGTAATAAATCACATAGCCACAGCTAAAATATTTCTGGCAACAAATAACTGGTGTAATGAATGACGCGTGCGACCCGCGCTTTGCAACTCGAGTGCACCGCGAGATTATCCGAATGTGTGCGTCTACGTACTACACACGTTTGTATGAAGTTACACTACTTGTTTTATTGTACTATCACGTTAATCTTAACTGGATAGATTTAGAGTTCAAAATATACAAATTCTCTTAAAGATAACTATGGGAATATCGATTATAGTTTTCAGAAATCGGTAAATTGGTTTGCGAAGAAATAATGATTTTACCGGTTATTGTTAACCGATTTCATTCTTATTCAACATAATCTACTACAAATTACGTTTATATACTTACGTAGCTTCCACAGGTATGTCTGGTTCACCCACCAGACGTTCTGCTCTGGCCTGAGGTGGGGGGTACGGCTGGATTAGTGGTTGTGTGTGGTAGACTACTCCTGGAAGTAGATCTTCTATGTCATCCTAGAGTGAAATAAAATAGAAAATTTACTTTACAAATCCACTTATTATAAGGTCCTTGTTTAATTAGTCCTATAATAGATGTATGTATGTGCACTTTTCTAAATGCATATGTTAAAACGGTAGCGAACACAATGTATACTTTTGGATCTTAAGGCGTTAGTGTTGATCCTAAATGACATGTAGGTAATTTATACTTAGATACAAAAATTTTCATAACTCCACATCAGCATCATCAACAGCATTTCGACCTTGTCTGTCCTGTAATCTGTAATAGTAACGGATTTGTAGTGTTACTGGTTGCACTTAATATGCCGCTGACTTGTCGTTGCCGAGCGCAGTTTGCTTGCGCAACCATTTTGGTGTCGGCGGAATATCAGCGGTGCAAACTTATAAAGTTGGCATCATTATGCTGAGACGAAACCTTTTCACATTACATTATTTGTTGTAACCTTCCTTTTCTTGTTATATGTAATGTGGTGAATAAATGCTTTATCTATATATCTATCTATACATCATTTCAGCCATTGCTGGACATAGAACTCCTTCAAAGATCGCCACGACGGCGACGACCAGTCTTGCGCTGCTTGCATCCAACGTACTCGTTGTCATCGTCTTCTTGTACGTGTCACCGCTTGAGAAGTCTTTGGCTCCATCGGTTATATCAGTTCTGTGAGCAATGTGCCCTGCTCATTGTCACTTTAATTTTACAATTCCTTGGGTTACATCGGTTATTCTGGTTTTTTGCGGATCTCCTCGTTTCTGATTCAATCTCGCAGTGAAACTCGAAGCTTAGACTCGCAACATGGCGTATGTTTAATACTATGTTATCATAAATATGTCAGGAAAGAACGTCTTACTGACCTCAGGTTCGTCTGACTCCCTATACGCAGGGCAGCTGATTCCCGTGGAACACGGTCTAGATATTTCAGGTCGGTTCGCAGGGTCGCAGCCTCCTCCGGCCGGGGAACATTCCACACCTCGCACTTGGATACCTTCGCCACACGATACTGAACACTGTGTGGAAGGAAATAGGTTTTACAATAAAAAAATATACGTTAAAAAAAGCAGTAAGATTATTAAGCAGTTAAAGAAACTTATAACAATACCTATTACTTAATTTATACAAAGCATTATGAATTTTTTGTCACTATTCAAATGTTAATATGTCTTTCTCGTATTAATCTTTGACGTATATCAAATACGTTGTGTCAGCGTCGTCGTGGGTAAACCCTGCAGTGCTGCGGGCAACCGCCGCGGTTATGTGAGCAGCCGCGGCAGTTATGTGGGCAACCGCTGCGGTTATGTGGACAACTGCTGCAGTTATGTAAGCAACCGGTGCAGTTATGTGAGCAACCACTGCAGTTATGCGGGCAATCACTGTAGTTACCTTAGTAACCGGTGCAGTTATGGGGGCAGTTATACCATCGCCTTTTCACGGCCATCACTTCCAAAAGTTGTAAGTTAATTCTATTATGTTATTTTTAAATGGTTTTATTTGATAGTTAGGTATTAGTTTTAGTTAGCGTTAGTAAATAGGTCATGGACGCGAATAAAGTTTTATCTGTCTATTTAGTTATCTAACTTTTGGAAAACGTGTGTGGTCATCAAACCTTCGTGGTCCAGCAGTGTTTTGAAATTTGTAATTACCTTTTGAATTTTCGAAACAAACAGAGCTGGAAATGAACTAGTGAAAACTGTTTTCCACCCGTCCAAAGCAAAGTTTTATTAAAAAAGTGTATCCAATTAGAGTGGCGAACTATCTTTTCGGTAAACTGGACTCTCGGCAACTCGACAAATAGTGCTGCCAATCAATGCGCACGATACCTTAAACGAAAATTGAATTTTCGACGCGGATGGATGTTACGATAGTATAAGTAAGGCTAATTGTTACACAAAGAACAAATTTGGTGCAACAATATCTTGAAATCGAGGTATTACATTTTATGTTTAATTAAGTTAAATTATTATTTTTTATCTTCGAACAGGAATAGTGCAATTTCTTTTTTTGACAATCGTACTCGAGGTAGGGGATTTACTCATGTTGAATTTGTTGTATTTAATTGATTTTGAAAGAATTCTTTACATCGAAATTTAACTTCAAACTACCCATCTCTACTACCTAGGTAGACAGGTTGGTATTGAAACTCCCTGAAACTAAGTTCTATCGCACACTGAAAGTTTTGGGTCAGAGTTTGGCTGTTTCGATACCGGTTAGTTGTCTTTACTTAATGTTTGGTCGGTATCTATTTGGTAAGGCTTAAAAGATACATTCGGTGAGCGGTGGTGGCTCTTTGGGATAACTGTTGCCTCGCAATTGTGAAGTCGAATATTCGAATCCCTATGGCTGCATATACTTGGCTATAAATTTGATTTCTAGTGCTGTGATTTATTAAACAACACCCGAATCGAACGTCAAACTGTCGTATTCGAAACCGAACCGAAATGACGTCCACCCGTACGTTTATTCGAACTTCTCGACCGGCAAAGGCTACAAACGTTATCCAGAACACAGTTATCGAATGAAAGTTACCGAACGTCCCATTGTTTTCAAAGCAAGAATGTAACATGGAAATCTCTTAATACTTTAAATAAAATATCGATTTTATTCAATTTTATCGTATCGACAAAGATATCGTATCCGAATCCGAATTGAACGTTTAACTCGAATGTTCTGAATAGCTCGGAAAACGCCCTTCGATTTCGACAACGATGTCCAATCGAACGATTCGGTTATAATATCGAAGAGTTCTGAATCGGGGTCCAGTCTATCCAAGTTTTTCGTATTTACATAACGAACTTTGCTTAAGTTTAAACAAGGAATTGTTTTTTATTTATTCGTTCATTTCCTCATTGTCTCATACTAATGCCGCCAATATCAACAGAATCTTTGTCCTGCAGAAACGTGCAGTTAGGGCAATTTACAATCTGGGCCCCAAAGTATCTTTGAGAGATAAGTTTAAGGAAATTAACATTCTTACACTAGCCTCACAGTACATTTATGAGAATGTAATTTATGTTAAAAGGAATAGTAATTTATTTATGAAAAATAGTGACAGACATAACATTAATACGAGGAATAGAAATAAACTAGCTTTTCTTGATAGTCGTCTTCACAAAGTCAAAAAATCATTTAAGGGGCAATGTATACGCTTCTATAACAAGATTCCGGTTGATATATAAAATTTGCCTTACACGAGGTTTAAACTATAGTGAAACAAAAACTTTATACTAAAGGTTATTACACAAGTTCTGCGTACTTGGATGACAAAAATCCGTGGTAGTAACCCGTTTAGCTCATGGAGGTAGTCTCGATCTCTGATGTTTCAAATAATAAAAAAAACATATTGTAAATGTTATTTACAAAGAGCAACCCCTAGAGTTTCTTGCTCATTCTTCTCAGGGGAATCTGCCTTACGAATGAGCGGTAGAGTTTAATATTGTGACGATTTCAAGTGTAATAATGCTTACCTATGAAATAAAGATTATTTTGAATTTGAATTTGTATTTGAATCATTCCACTCAAGTCGAATGATTGCCGATGCCGAATGCCCCTGTCATTCGACCGGGAACACGAGTCGAATCAGACGTTTGAAGAGGACGTTTCTCTTTGATGTCCTAATTGTAGTTTTTTGACTAAACAACTTAAACAGAGTAATCCCATTTTAAACGAGAAAGAAAACTTCTAGTTAAAATTTTATAAATTTAAGCGAACAAAGAAGACGGCGTAAAGTTTTTAAATAAGTAACATTCATTATTTAAGAAGTAAGAGTAACAGTACTTTGTACATTGTTAGTGATGTGTAAGGCTACTAGTGTTGTAGAAGCGGGGGGAAAAGCGGCATTGATATTGTTCCCCCATTTGTATTTTATGTTTTTTTTTTATAATACCAAGTGAAGGGACGAACAAATAGTGCGCCTGGTGGTAAGCTACTCGCCTGTCCA